AGGTTAACGACGGTCAATTTATGACATTTCTACTTAATGTCAATTCATTGAAAAGTTAACGACGGTCAATTTATGACATTTTACTTAATGTCATTCATTGAACAGTTTCACAACGGTCAATTTATGACATTTTTTACTTAAATGTCATTCATTGAACAGTTCACAACGGTCAATGAATGACATTTTACTTAATGTCATTCAGTGAACAGTTAACGACGGTGAATTTAATGACATTTATACTTAATGTTCATTCAATTGAAAAGTTAACGACGGTCAATTATGACATTTTACCTAATGCATTCATTCGAACAAGTTCACACAACGGTCAATTTATGACATTTTTACTTAAATTGTCATTCATTGAACAGGTTCACAACGGTCAATGGAATGACATTTTACTGCTTTAATGTCATTCAGTTGAACAGTTAAACGACGGTCAATTTATGACATTTTACTTAATGTCATTCATTGAACAGTCACAAAACGGTCAAATTTATGACATTTTTACCTTAATGTCATTCATTGAACAGTTCACCAACGGGTCAAATGAAATGACATTTTACTTAATGTCATTCAGTGAACAGGTTAACGACGGTCAATTTATGACATTTTTACTAATGTCATTCATTTGAAAGTACCAAGGTCAAATTTATGGACATTTTAAACTTAATTGTCATTCATTGGACAGTTCACAACGTCAATGAATGACAATTTTACTTAATGTCATTCATTGCCTTAACAGTACAACGACAGTCAATTTATGAAACATATTAATGACATAAACTTATGTCATTCATTGACACAGTTAACGACGGTCAATTTATATGAACATTCCTTTCAGTGTCATAATGTTCAAAATAAATATCATTGTCACATTTTTACTTTTGTCATTGAAGGTCTCATAACATAGATCCACAATATGCCGTTATCACAAAATTGACATTTACTTTGTGCATTATAAAATTAATGAAATAAAAAAAACATGTCGTCATCACAATATCGGACACATATTTTGTCATTAAAGCCTTCGTAACATAAATAACAAAATTCGATTATCATAAAATTGAGATAATTTTATTTGTCAGGTAAATTTTTTCAATGACATAAAAAACAAATGCCATTATCACAAAGTTAACATTATTTATCTTTTGAAATTACAATTATTAAAATTCAATGTCATAGCCATAGCATTGACATTTTACAAAAATAATATCATATATGAAGTACAGTACGACCATTAAATGTCTAATGGTCTTTAAGAACTGTTTTACAAATTTCGGGATGGGTTACTGACGTCCTTCTCTGCGTTTGTTATGTAAAATTGGTTGCACAAGGAATTAACAAGCTTGCCGATAGTTCTGGTACATAAAAGAACACGATTTATTGTTATAAAGTAGGTGTTTTGTTAGCTATAATTATAGGTTTTTGTACCCTAAACGTAAAAAATTTTGTCACACCTATTGTTTTGTTCTTATACTCGGTAATAGAAGACGGTTCGGTAAAATCTCGTGCACGACGTCAACTTATTCCACAGTGCTGCAGGCTGTGTATGGACCTCTTGTTTACGTGTTGGGTCGTCTGTGTAAGAACTTACAATTGTTTGTAAAAGAAAAATTCAGTAACTTGTCTTTAGGGAGATTTTATTGAACTTGATTTTATTTGTTGTCTTGGACTGTCTGACCTTTGGCTAGAAGAGAAACGACCTCACTAGAGAAAGACAGGTGTAACACCCTTGTTTGTACTTGACTGTACAGAGTCCACACATCTCTGTCTGAATAGAAATTTGTACTACCACTCACCCTTGACCACCTTATAGTCCGGCCCTGTCTGTGACTACTACCGCCTTGTGTTTTTCCTCCTTCATTGTACCGGACTTTACTCTCTGTTCTCCATTCATCTTTACTTTTTGTCCTTTACCTTTTGCTCTGTGCTGTACCTTTTGTGTCCCTGAATTGATTCTACTTACTGTATTTATCTGTCTGGACAGTACTGCACTTATTTGTAACTTTTGGAACGATTTCACTTTACCGTCTGTATTATGTTATTTGTATTGGTTGTGTACTCTGTGTTGTTTTCGTGACAACCGTTTATGTAATAGGTGAAAGAATCTATTATGTGTTATAACTTTGTGAAACTTATGTTTGTTGGTTTACGTACGTCCTTACCTGGGACAGGACTTGGATATTTTGGAATGTGCACAATTCTGTAAAACTAATTCGAACGGCTCATGTCAATCGAATTGACGAAAAAGTGATTCGCACTGCAGTCTGACATTTGAAACGGATCAATGTATTTAATTGACTGTTTTAATAAACATAATTAATCAAAGAAACAGAGAACTCAATGGTACAGGTAACCCCCTTCAAATGAAGGACCAAGTCGTTTCCCGCACCGGATCGCGACTCCTGAGTATTTATGACGTTTCCTCGGGCTTAACCCATCTAACACATGTAATGAAAAGTGAAATGACGAAAACGTGACGGACCAATCTCTCGAATTTGACGTAAAGCAACAGAGTCATGGACATCAGCCACGTTATTGTTATTTCAACTTAGATTAGAACTCGTCCTTTGTTTACAGAAATTGAATCATTGTATAGACTGTAATTGCTAATTGTGTGTAAACCGTAAGAAATATTTCGTTTGAGCAGTTCTGGTTGACTGCCTTCATCAAAAACGTTTCATAACTCAGCAAGACAGAAAAATGTACATCCGTAAGTTGGGGGGAGACATAACTAAAACAATATTTTACTTGTCTGTGAACTCAGTAAGTAAACATCACTATATTATTAAAAAGTAGACGTTGCTTCTTGCCGGTTGCGTTTAGGGCGGGTAACGTTTGGCTAGTTCAGCTGAGGCTCGACAGGCTGAAGTCTCGTTGCGAAAAACCTCGTGGAGTGGGGTCGACGTTTAGCCGGATAAGAGCAGATGAAAGCTCGGCGGTGTTATTATTATGTTTACTACTAATAATAATGGATGAAAACAGATAAAAATAAGGAGACACAACGCAAAAATCTTCCAACGTTACGGTTGCTGGTAAGAAACATTATTTAGTCAGTGG